GGAGGGGTGGCCAAGACGGTGGTGCCACAAGAGAGTCTCGTGAGACAGGAGGCGACACGAGCAGGGGGCAGACTCAGGACCAGACCTGGACGCAGCAGCAAACACCTGACCCGGCGCAACTACCTGGCCAGACACAGGGACAGGAGGAGACTCAGTGGTCAGGGTGTAGAGGCTCGACCCCGGCCGACGGGAGAACGTGGCCAGGTGCCGGCCTGTGCATGCGTCCGTGCAGTGGGTCACCCGCTGACTCGCAGGAGTAAACTGGTGAACCCCCGCATCCTGTAGGGCAGCACCACTCACCAAGTTCGTCGAGAACGAGGGGAGGTACAGACCAGACAGGGCGCCCGAGGGGGCAGCTGGACACGGCACGACAGTGGAGAAGTGAGAGAGGGCAGGACCCCCAAAGGGGTCAGCCAGGGAGACCGCAACCGGCCGGCCAAGCGGCGTGAGTGTGGTGTGGTCCCGAAAGAAGGAGCGAGAAGCCCCAGAGTGAAGCGTAAAGGTGAGGGAGGCCGAAGCTGACGTGGTACCTGAGAGCGCAGCCTCACCAGTACCTGAGAGCGCAGCCTCACCAGCACGTGAGAGCGCAGCAGCGTCACACGCACCTAGCGCAGCCGTACCAATGCCCGGGTCGGGGTGGAAACACCGGTAACAGTCACCCTCATCACTAAAAGACACAGCATACATGGCAGCAAGGATAGCATCAAAGTCTAGCTCAAAGATCGCTACACCAGCTCTAGAAAGGTCTCCCAAGCGGGGGATCTCAGAAGCGTCAGGGAACTGCTGACGCCAAGCGTCCGTCAGGCGGCCAAAGTAGCGCCGGGTGGAGTGGGAACCCCCACACTGCTCACCCGCGCGGTCGCTGCTGCGAAGAACGTAGGTGCACGGGCCAAAGCCTCCACCACACTGTCTCTGCGTGTACCACTCACGGAGCTGCTGAGGCGTGGGGACGTCCTGAGCACGCTGCTGCTGCTCCTGCTGCTGCTGCTGCTGCCGCGGACCACCACCAGAGCCGCTCCGCTGCGGGGCACTACCCCGACCAGCTCCACCGCCTCCACCTCCGCCACTGCCACCGCCTCCGCTCCCACCGCCTCCGCCGCCACCACCTCTGCCGCCGCTGCCGCCTCCACCGCCACCACTCCCGCCACCACTCCCACCGCCACCCCCACTCCCTCCGCCTCCTCCACCGCCACCTCCACCGCCCTCGCCAGCTCCACCCGCACCCTTGCCCCCCTTGCCCTTGCCAGGGCGGCGTCTCCCGCTAGGGGCAGACGCCGCGCCGACCGACTCAAGACCAAGCAGGTCGGCAGCAGCAGCAGAGGCAACAGAGGGCAGCAGGGGGGAAGGAGAACACCCCTCAAAGATGGGGGTGCGCGGGTCACCACGAGAGCCTCCTACAGCGACTATACTCTTCTCCGCCGCTAGGAGGGCCTTCTCGAGGAGGTCGACAGTGAGAGTGGTGGGACAGACTGAGAGGAAGTGGTCCCTGACTACACGAAGGGAGTCAGGGAGGCGAGTGACTATGTAATAGAGAGCGATGTACATGGGGGGGGGGGTTCTTGGCGCAGAACTCAGTAGGAAGGGCAGCGCGGTAGCGGGTGTCACAAGTGCGGAGGTGCGTAATGAGGTCAGCGATAGTGGGAAAGGCAGTGAGATCAGGAAAGAGGTACGGTAGCATGAGACGGCTCAGCGGAGCAGTGGCAGGGGAAGAGTAGCGCGCAACGACGACTTCGTACAAGGTCTGAGCACTCTTGTACTGACTAAAGTGCGCGCGCTCAGTGGTGGGCAAGTGGCGACGCACAGCAAGACGTGCAGCAGCATCGCGGGTGGCCCACTGAGAGCGAACAGTGGGGTCAGCATCAGCAGCAGGAGCAGGAGAGGCGCCAGAGGTGAGGTCAAAGAGAGAAAGACCGTCCGCCCTATCGCACTGTAAAAACAACTGCAGGTCGTCGACCCAGACCTCAAAGTCAATGGCTCGACCCTCAGCGTCAAAAGCGATGACACTGGGGGTAGCCATGACGACAGACTAGCAGTGCAAGCAGTGGGAAGGGCACGCAGTAGCAGCGGGGCAGTACCGTGCTCATCAGACAGGGCAGGTCGGGCGGCCTGGTAGCAGGGCGGCTCGGCGGCTCCTGGGCGGCTCGGCTGCTGCTGGGCGGCTCGGCTGCTGCTGGGCTGCTCGGCGGCTCCTGGGCGGCTCGGCTGCTCCCGGGCGGCTCGGCTGCTGCTGGGCGGCCCGGCTGCTGCTGGGCGGCTCGGCTGATGCTGGGCGGCTCGGCTGCTGCTGGGCGGCTCGGCTGATGCTGGGCGGCTCGGCTGCTGCTCGGCGGCTCGGCTGCTGCTGGGCGGCTCGGCTGCTGCTCGGCGGCTCGGCCGGTGCTGGGCCGCATAGGTAGGGCGGCTGGGCCGCGAAGGTAGGGTGGCGGGTGGGTCGCAGGTAGGGCGGCGGGTGGGCCGCAGGTAGGGTGGCTGGTGGGCAGCAGGTAGGGCGGCGGGTGGGCCGCAGGTAGGGCGGCGGAGGGCCGCAGGTAGGGCGGCGGGTGGGCCGCAGGTAGGGCGGCTGGTGGGCCGCAGGTAGGGCGGCGGTAGGGCCGTTGGTAGGGCGGCAGGTAGGGCCGCAGGTAGGGCGGCGAAGGGCCGCAGGTAGGGCGGCGGTAGGGCCGCGTAGGTGAGGCGGCGGGGCCGCGACGTAGGGGCGGCTGAGCCGCGTAGGTGAGGGCGGCAGGGGCCGTGTAGGGAAGGGCGGCGGGGCCGCTCAGGTAAGGGCGGCGGGGCCGCGTTGCTGAGGTGGCGGGGCCGCGAAGGGTGGGGCAGCCAGGCCGCGACGTAGGGGCGGCGGAGCCGCGTAGGTGAGGGCGGCAGGGGGCCGCGTAGGTAAGGGCGGCGGGGCCGCTCAGGTAAGGGCGGCGGGGCCGCGTTGCTGAGGCGGTGGGGCCGCGACGGAAGGGCGGCTGGGCCGCGTAGGTGAAGGCGGCGGGGCCGTGCAGGTGAAGGGCGGCGGGGCCGCGATCAAAGGGTCGGCCGTTAGGGCGGCTTGGTGAGAGAAAGGCCCGAGGCGCGACTCGGAAGGAGTGCGCTTCGGGCAGGAAAAAAAAAAATCGAGTGGTGGGCCCTAGGCGAAGTTCCCACAGGGGAACCTGTTCTATACCATGTGAAAGTTGAAGAACAGGAATGATGAACTATGAAATGTGTGAGTACAAGTACCAACCCTAATTGGGTTGTACCCCCTATGGGATACCCCACTATAGCCTACACAAAAGCATAAGCTATAAGTTATGACAGCCTTGTGGCCTCACTCTTGTGCTCGGACTGTGTGGTGACTTTGTGATCCACCCTGAGCTTGGTTTGCTTTGCTTGACTGGTCTTGTGACCGCTTGTTCTCCCCCACTTTGCCCATGGGGGTGTGTCAGAACATTATAGCTTATACATTTGTGTAGGCTGTAGTGGGGTAGCCCATAAGGGGTAGAGCCCAATTAGGGTTAGTATTTGTACCCAACTGTTTCATAGTTCATTTCATCCATTCTCATTTGTCGTCAACCATGCTGCAGTGTATAACCTCTGAGTAGTGTTACTGGATGATCTACAGTCACGACCGTTGACTAACTTCGACTTTTGACCTTGGAGTAACTCTCGAGCTGCCGCATGCTCTAAATGAGCTATTGCGGTACTGGTACAGTGGCGCTGCTTCGTTATGAAGTGGCGCGCTAGGAGAGAGCCTTCGTGAAAGTTATAATAACATTTCGGTTATTCCAACAAGTTTGGCCTAAAATTCCGCACCCAACCCCGCACCAATCGCAACCATTTCCGAGCCGAGCCACCTTCGTCCGGCGTCGTCGCCTGCCTAGGATTCCCCTTATTTGAACCCGTCACTTTTCATTGTATGACATTTAGTAATTTCAGAGGCTCGTTATTCGTTATTCTGCACACTTTGTAAGTTATTTCATAACAACTAGGCTGTCAAAAGTCTGAAGCGGTCACCCTACAACAGATGGTTACCTGACAAATTTTGACACAGCTGTGACGAGTTGGACCCGCCCTCCAGAACTCCACTTCTCTCAAGATCTGCTCACCAGGAATGTCACATGATCATCCTGTGTTCCAGTCGTGCTATCAGCTAGAATCCCGGTTGCTCTTAGCCGGCTCGACGCCATGGCGACCTCTAGCATGCGCGGCTTGTCGGTGTTCATATCCGATATTCGAAACTGTCAGAACAAGGAGCAGGAGCGACTACGAGTCGACAAGGAACTCGCGAACATTCGCACGCATTTCAAGGCTGAACGTGTAAGACGGCGGTGTGGCCGTGGTCTTTCGCAGTGGTAACTTCGTAAAGTCAACTCGCTGTAGTAGGGTCGTAAAAGTCTGGAAAGTCGAATGCTAGGCATCAACTTTCACGATGCGCCGCGACATGGTTGGATTAGGCCATTCAGTTTAGATCGAACCCCCGCATATCGTAAAGCCACGATGATAGCCTGATGAGAGCGGTCAGCTTGATAGATCGTAGATAAGGTGACGATTAAGAAGCGAGGCGATACTGTGTGTGGAGAGCTGGATTGCCAGGCACATGCCTTGCGTTGACTGAGTTGACTCGCACGTGTTGACTTGACTCACAGTTCTTGATTTGACTGAGTTGACTCGCACGTGTTGACTTGACTCACAGTTCTTGATTTGACTGAGTTGAATCGCACGTGTTGACTTGACTTGAATCACATCTGTCTGTGCGTATGGGTGCGTGTATCTGTGCGTGTCCGTGTCTGTGCGTGTCCGTGTCTGTGCGTGTCCGTGTCTGTGCGTGTCCGTGTCTGTGCGTGTCCGTGTCTGTGCGTGTCCGTGTCTGTGCGTGTCCGCGTCTGTGCGTGTCCGCGTCTGAGCTCTCAGAAGTTGACGCCGTACGAGAAGTAAAAGTACGTGTGTAGAAGAAATAAGTTGCCATACATCGTCACGTTCATGTTTGTATCTCTCTGTGCCTGTACCCGTCCGTCCGTGCGTGCGTGTGCTCTCAGAAGCTAACGCCGTACGAGAAGAAGAAGTATGTGTGGAAGCTGCTCTACATATTCATGCTCGGCTACGACGTCGATTTCGGCCACATGGAGGCCGTCTCCCTCATCTCCGCCCCCAAATACGCAGAAAAGCAGGTGCTCTCCCCGCTCTCCCCGCTCTACCCGCTCTCCCCGCTCTCCCCGCTCTCCCCGCTCTCCTCGCCCTCCCCGCCCTCCCCCCTCTCCTCGCCCTCCCCCATTTCCGCGCCCAAATACATCGAGGAAAAGGTCCGTTTTCCTCTGCTCCCCCGTGCCCACCTGCTCGTCCACCTGCGTCCGTCCGCCTGCTGCCTGCTGCCTGCTGCTGTGCGTGCGTCTTCTTGCTGGCTCCCTTGGTTCAGGGCGTGGCAGGTGTCCTGACGTAGGAAGAATTGCATCACTGATTGTGTGTGTGTGCTTGTACCCAAGTGCTCATGTACCCACGTGTGTGTGCATGTGTGCGCCTGCCCATGCATGCATGCATGCATGACACGTGGCATGGCAGGTGGGGTACATGGTGACGTCATGTCTGCTGAACGAGAACAACGACTTCCTGCGCCTCGTCATCAACTCCGTCAGGAATGACATCATCGGCCGCAACGAGACCTTTCAGTGCCTCGCCCTCACCATGGTATGCCTCGCCCTCACCATGGTATGCCTCGCCCTCACCATGGTATGCCTCGCCCTCACCATGGTATGCATCGCCCTCACCATGGTATGCCTCGCCCTCACCATGGTATGCCTCGCCCTCACCATGGTATGCCTCGCCCTCACCATGGTATGCCTCGCCCTCATCATGGTATGCCTCGCCCTCACCATGGTATGTCTCGCCCTCACCATGGTATGCCTCGCCCTCACCATGGTATGCCTCGCCCTCACCATGGTATGCCTCGCCCTCACCATGGTATGCCTCGCCCTCACCATGGTATGCCTCGCCCTCACCATGGTATGCCTCGCCCTCACCATGGTATGCCTCGCCCTCACCATGGTATGCCTCGCCCTCACCATGGTATGCCTCGCCCTCACCATGGTATGCCTCGCCCTCACCATGGTATGCCTCGCCCTCATCATGGTATGCCTCGCCCTCACCATGGTATGCCTCGCCCTCACCATGGTATGCCTCGCCCTCACCATGGTATGCCTCGCCCTCATCATGGTATGCCTCGCCCTCACCATGGTATGCCTCGCCCTCACCATGGTATGCCTCGCCCTCACCATGGTATGCCTCGCCCTCACCATGGTATGCCTCGCCCTCACCATGGTATGCCTCGCCCTCACCATGGTGAAGAAGAAGGCACCAAGTGCCAACCAAGGACCAAGACCAAATCCAATCTTGACCAACCACAAAGTGTGGCTGGAGTGTACACCCAACCCCCCAAGAACATAAGGGACTACACCTATTCTAGCCTATGAATGTTGTATATAATGTACATTTACAACACATAAAGGACTACACCTATTCTAGCCTATGTATGTTGTATATAATATACAACACCCTCCTCCCTTCCCCTTCTTCCCCTGCCACCTCCTCCCCTTCCCTCAACCTCTGCCTCCTCCCCCCTGCTTTCCTCCCTCCCCCCCCCTTTCCCCGCCGTGGCAGGTGGGCAACATCGGGGGGAAGGAGTTCTCAGAGTCCGTCGCCCCTGACGTGCAGAAGCTGCTGGTAGGGAAGGCGAGGAGGAGGGGGGATGAGGATGTGGTTGGGCAGGATGGGATCGTGGGCTGGGGCGAGAAGTGGGGGAGCAAGGATGGGGTGGAATATCTCAGCCAAAACGGGTCGTCAAGCCTGACGACCTGTTGACGACTTGACGATATGCTGCCCCGGGCAGGAAAAATCTAAAACCCTATCGGATGGCATGCCATCCTAGGGAGGCATCAACCCTAAATCCATGCCTCCCTGTGTTTAGGGCTGATGCCTCCCTGACCGGATGCATGCCCTTCTGGGGGTTTTTTTTTTGCCCGCGGGCAGCGAGCTCCCCTGGGCGGTCTCGCTTGTCCGCTGAGATATTTTCGGCGGGATGGATCATGCTGGGGCAGGGGTGGTGAGGGAGGGTGCAAGTTCGGTAGGGCAGGGAAGGTTTTGCAGGTGCCCCGCCCCATGTGGCTGCTTGTGTGTGGCGCAGAGGCATACATACTGTGCGCTATGTCTTACTCACACCACACCGGCTTTGCTCAACTTTTCCTCCGTCCTATTCACTCCCGCCTCCTCCCCCCCTCCTTTCATTGCACTCCCATACACCTATGTTGGAATTGACGCGTCAAGCGTCTTTGACGCTAACGTCTGGACGCTTGACGCAGAATCCTGATTCTTTTGACGCAGTTTTGACGCTCTGGCGGGCAGCAAAAAAACTTTCGGGCAGCAATAGAAAAGTATAAGGGGGGAGGGAGGGGAGTGGCAAGGCGAAAGTTAAGGGGTAATAGGAGTGGAACGGCGATCTAACTCTGTAGGAACATGATAGTCGATCTAACCCTAATTTATGTTGAGTAGCTTGCAAAGCAGAGTGACGACCTGGATTGGCGTGACTGATTTTTGTCAACTTCAGTTGGTTGGATCTTCTAGTTGCATTGCGGTACAATGTGGTGTGAGGGATGTTTTTGTGTTTCTGTTTTGTGAGAGGTGTTCAATGTCGACTTGACATTCGAAGTCACGATTTTGAAGCGAAGTCGCGATTTCGAAGCTAAGTCGCGAATGATTTTTTTTCCGCACGATTTCGGGCTGCCCGATTTTTTTTTTTACCAGCGTCAAGCGTCAAAACGCGCGTCAAGCGTTTTGCGTCAAAACGCTAGCGTCAAAACGCTTGACGCAACCCCTCCAGAGCGTCAATTCCAACATAGCCATACACTGCGCGCCCTCCCCCAGCCCTTTCCTGCCTCTCCTCCCCTTTTCATCCTCTGGATTTATTTCCCCACCCCCCCCTCTTGATTCATTCCCCCACCCCCTCCCCTCTGGATTCATTTCCCCACCCCCCCCTCTGGATTCATTCCCCCACCCCCCCCTCTGGATTCATTTCCCCACCCCCCTTTCTGAATTCATTTCCCCACCCCCCTTTCAGGATTCATCCCCCCACCCCCCCCCTCCCTCATCTCCAATCCGGCCTGCTGGGCTTGCCCCCCTCCGCTCACTGGGAGCTGTCGAGCTCAGCGCGGCCGCTGGTGAAGAAAAAAGCATCGCTGTGCCTGCTCAGGCTTGCCTTGCCCCCCCTTGCCCCCCCTTGCTCCCCTTGCCCCCCCTTGCTCCCCTTGCCCCCCCTTGCTCCCCTTGCCCCCCCTTGCTCCCCTTGCCCCCCCTGCCCCCCTGCGCGCACTGGCAGCTGTCGAGCTCAGCGCGGCCGCTGGTGAAGAAGAAGGCAGCGCTGTGCCTGCTGAGGCTCTTTCGCAAGAACCCCGACATCATCAGCACCGACACATGGTGAGTGACGTCATCATCAGCACTGACACATGGTGAGTGACGTCATCAGCACAGACACGTGGTGAGTGATGTCATCATCAGCACTGACACGTGGTGAGTGACGTCATCATCAGCACCGACACGTGGTGAGTGACGTCATCATCATCAGCACAGACACGTGGTGAGTGACGTCATCATCAGCACCGACATGTGGTGAGTGACGTCATCATCAGCACCGACACGTGGTGAGTGACGTCATCATCATCAGCACAGACACGTGGTGAGTGACGTCATCATCAGCACAGACACGTGGCGAGTGACGTCATCATCAGCACCTAAACGCGGTGAGTGACATCAGCAGCAGCACCGACACGTGGTGAGTGGGGGCTCGCCTCGCAGCAGTGTATGTTTGGACCGCCCCAACAGTCGCCTGCTGAGGCTCTTGCACAAGAAGCCCGACATCACAAGCAACGGCACGTGGTGAGTTCCAGGTGCAGCATCTTCCATCGACATCTCCTCCCAGTGCACCATTGGCATGCCTTGCCAACCCCCCATACCCATTGCCACCCATTGTGCAGCGCATGATCCCCCCCTGCCTCTTCTCATCCCCATTTCCCAGACCACAGCGCATTACCCCCCCCCCTGCCCATCCTCTCCCCCTGCTGCAGGCCACAGCGCATGGCGAGTCTGCTGGAGGAGCGCAGTCTGAGCGTGCTCCTCGCAACCATGTCGCTGCTCGTGGCGCTCGTGGCAGCAAACCCGGAGGCGTACCTGTGCTGTGTGCCCAAGTGCGTCAAGGTGTTGGAGCGCCTCGCCAAATGTGTGGACATCCCGCAGGACTACACCTACTACGCCATTCCATCTCCCTGGCTGCAGGTGTGTGCGACTTGCTGTGTGTGCTGTGCCATCCCCTCGTTCTCATTGTTCCTCCATCCCCCTTTCCGTTCATCCGCTTCTCTCCCCACACACCCGCCTCCCCCCTCAACACATGCCCCCCTGTGCTGCTGGCCCCCAGGTGAAGGTACTTCAGTACTTTCCCTCCATCAAAGACGAGTTTCGAGCCGACTCAAACCCTTTCTTCCCCCTTCACCCTCTTCCCCTCCTCCCCCGACCGACAATGTGCCTCTGGGGAGCGGGCGGCAGGTGAAGACGATGCGGGTGCTGCAGTACTTCCCGTCCATCGAAGACCCCTCCATCCGCAAGTCGCTGCTCGAGGTCTGTTATGTTGCTCCATCTCCTCCTCGCCTCTGCCCTCTTCGTTTCTTCTCTCCAATCAACAAGTCTTGCATGGCTCCTACTTGAGAAGGTTTGAGAATGCTAGATTGTGCGGTCGAGTGCACGCTGAATTGCATGCCATGCCACCATCCCCTCCCCGTACAATCCCACCTACGCACTATCCGCACCATGCTGCTACAGGGCAGGGATGTTCAGGACTAGCGTGTGCCCCATGTCGTCCCCACGCCCCCTCATTCCCTCATGTCCGCCCTTGTTACCGTGCACCGTACATGCTCCCCCCCCCTCCCCCCCTCATGGCATGGCATGGCATCAGGTGCTGGCGCGCATACTGCAGGGCACGGAGGTGGTGAAGAATGTCAACAAGAACAACGCCGCCCACGCCATCCTCTTTGAAGCCCTTGCGCTGGTACGGCCCTCCTTGCGCTGGTACGGCCCTCCAGTGCTCCCCTACAAACCCTCCCTCTGCCCTTCCTTCTTTTCCTCCTATTGCCCTCAAGTCCACCTCGTGCCACTCCACTCACGTCACCTCTGTGTGTGCCCAACAGCTGCCCTCCCTCACTCTGCCACTCCCCCCTCCCCCCCACCCGTGCCTCTCTCTGCGCAAGGCCGGGCCGCCAGGCAATGCACATGGACGCAGAGAGGGAGGTGATGGTGCAGTGCTGCTGGTTCACACATATCCGCTAACCATCCCCCCCTCACAGATCATATCCGCTAACCATCCCCCCCTCACAGATCATATCCGCTTACCATCCCCCCCTCACCCCCCCACCCTCCCCGCCCCTGCCAGGCGATGCACATGGATGCGGAGAGGGAGGTGATGCAGCACTGCGTGGGGCTGCTGGGCAAGTTCGTGGGCGTGAGGGAGCCCAACATCCGCTACCTCGCCCTCGTGAGTAAAACAAGTGCTTGAGACTTCTCAAAGCAAGTTCGTGGGCGTGAGGGAGCCCAACATCCGCTACCTCGCCCTCGTGAGTAAAACAAGTGCTTGAGACTTCTCAAAGCAAGTTCGTGGGCGTGAGGGAGCCCAACATCCGCTACCTCGCCCTCGTGAGTAAAACAAGTGCTTGAGACTTCTCAAAGCAAGTTCGTGGGCGTGAGGGAGCCCAACATCCGCTACCTCGCCCTCGTGAGTAAAACAAGTGCTTGAGACTTCTCAAAGCAAGTTCGTGGGCGTGAGGGAGCCCAACATCTGCTACCTCGCCCTCGTGAGTAAAACAAGTGCTTGAGACTTCTCAAAGCAAGTTCGTGGGCGTGCGGGAGCCCAACATCCGCTACCTCGCCCTCGTGAGTTAAACAAGTGCTTGAGACTTCTCAAAGCAAGTTCGTGGGCGTGCGCGAGCCCAACATCCGCTAGCCACACCACGCACCATCCATGCCTCACTGCTCGGCTCGCTGCACTGCTCACTGCACTGCACCATGCTGCACCGCACTGACTGCACGACGATGAGGGCGGCTGACTGACTAGGTGCTGGTCACGATGCCATGCACAGTAGCGCAACGCAGTGGTGCTGTGCTGCTGCTGGGGAAGCTTATGGGCTCGCGTGGGAGGGAGGTCAACATCCGGTAACTGGGTAACCCAACCTCGTGAGTCATGAGCGCACTGCTCTTTTAGGACGGCTCGTTGCCACTTCCACGTTGGCACTCACGTGAGGGCTGACTAGGTGGCTGCCACTTCCACGTCATGTCTTGGATCTATGCTCACAACTCCTGATCTTGCCTCGTCGTGATGGTATGTGTTGGGATGAGTTGATACGTGATGGCATGGGACGACATGGAATGGCATGGGACGACATGGAATGGCATGGGATGACATGGTATGGCATGGGACGACATGGAATGGAATGGCATGGGACGACATGGAATGGCATGGGACGAGATGGAATGGCATGGGATGACATGGAATGGCATGGGACGACATGGAATGGCATGGGACGACATGGAATGGCATGGGATGGCATGTGGGCATGGCATGACGTGGCATGGCGTGAGTGTGGGAGCAGGAGAACATGGCGCGCATGTTGATGGTGGCAGACGTGCAGGATGACATCAGGGGCTTCCAGAGCCAGATCGTGCACTCCCTCAAGGACCCCGATATCAGGTGCACTCCCTCAAGGACCCCGATATCAGGTGCACTTCCTCAAGGACCCCGATATCAGGTGCACTCCCTCAAGGACCCCGATATCAGGTGCACTCCCTCAAGGACCCCGATATCAGGTGCACTCCCTCAAGGACCCCGATATCAGGTGCACTCCCTCAAGGACCCCGATATCAGGTGCACTCCCTCAAGGACCCCGATATCAGGTGCACTCCCTCAAGGACCCCGATATCAGGTGCACTCCCTCAAGGACCCCGATATCAGGTGCACTCCCTCAAGGACCCCGATATCAGGTGCACTCCCTCAAGGACCCCGATATCAGGTGCACTCCCTCAAGGACCCCGATATCAGGTGCACTCCCTCAAGGACCCCGATATCAGGTGCACTCCCTCAAGGACCCCGATATCAGGTGCACTCCCTCAAGGACCCCGATATCAGGTGCACTCCCTCAAGGACCCCGATATCAGGTGCACTCCCTCAAGGACCCCGATATCAGGTGCACTCCCTCAAGGACCCCGATATCAGGTGCACTCCCTCAAGGACCCCGATATCAGGTGCACTCCCTCAAGGACCCCGATATCAGGTGCACTCCCTCAAGGACCCCGATATCAGGTGCACTCCCTCAAGGACCCCGATATCAGGTGCACTCCCTCAAGGACCCCGATATCAGGTGCACTCCCTCAAGGACCCCGATATCAGGTGCACTCCCTCAAGGACCCCGATATCAGGTGCACTCCCTCAACCTCAAGGACCCCGATATCAGGTGCACTCCCTCAAGGACCCCGATATCAGGTGCACTCCCTCAAGGACCCCGATATCAGGTACGGGGGAACCATGCTCATAGGTGATGCGCAGGGCATGGTGCTATGATGCACATCCCCTAGCACATGCCATGGTCTCGTTTTCTCCCCTCCACCCCTTCCTGCCATCCCCTCCTCCCAGCATTCACCCTCGAGCCCTTCATGTGCTTCACAGGCTATGCGACATCCACAGGCTGCGATATTGACAACGCCAAATGCTATGCCCCCCATCCTTTCCTCCCTTCTCCCCTTGCCTGCCCTTGTCTGCCCTTGCGTGCGTCTCCCCCAGCATTCGGCGGCGCGCGCTGGACCTGCTGTACGGGCTGTGCGACACCGACAATGCCAAGTTCATCGTCGAGCAGCTGCTGCAGGTCGGTAGGAGGGGCTGCTGCAGGTGAGCGAGGGGCTGCTGCAGGTGAGTGAGGGGCTGCTGCAGGTGAGTGAGGGGCTGCTGCAGGTGAGTAGGCTTGAGCATGCTGGCCCCGTCAGGTGAGATGAGGGGTGAGGGGCGCAGCTGCTGCAGGTGAGGGTTCTGTTTTTTACGTTCCTCTATAGATTTAGTGCTGCACTTGATGCCCCCCCACATGTTTCCTCTTGCTAGCAACATTAGTCTGTGTGCAGTGCAGGTGGGCGCTCTGCCTTTTCTCGCTTCTCCTGCCCACCGCCCTTCCTCTCTCCACTCTGCCTTTGCCCCCCATTTCCCTTCCCTCCCCTTCTTCCCTTCCCCCCCCCCTCCGCCTCTTCCACGCACCCCTGGCGACGGCACGGCAGTACCCGATGGTGGTAGACTTTGGGATGTGCGAGGAGGAGCTCACCCTCAAGACCGCCATCATTCTGATCTGAGACGATGTTTGTGGCGCCTCAAAACCCCCACCCCCGCCTCCCCCTTGGCCCTTCCCCACGGCAGTACCTGACGGTGGCGGACTTTGTGATGCGCGAGGAGCTGACCCTCAAGACCGCCATACTGGCAGAGAAATTCGCAGTCGACCTGCCCTGGTGAGAGAGAGGGGCGGGGGGAGGGGAAGGCTGTTTTATCCCTGGTGGGTGTAGAGCGGGGCAGCTGCTGCAGAACTTTGTGATGCACGAGGAGGTGACCCTCAAGACCTCCATCCTTGCAGAGAGATTCGCAGTCGGCCTGCCTTGGTGGATGCAGAGGGGGACGCGGGGGAGCTGTTAGAATTGAACCATTGACTTGATTAGGAATCATGAGGGTTTACATAGTGGAAGCTAGGGCAGGAGGGGTTGGTTGGTTACCTAGCCAACATTATTGGCCCCCCACCAATAAGTTGGGTTGGAGAATTATTGGGGGGTCCCAATAATGTTGGCCAAAGGTGGGCCAACATTATTGGGGGGGGCCAATAATCTCCCAACCCAACCTTGGAGGCCAATAATTGGACCAAGGTTGGGTTCCAGCCCCCAACTAGGGTTAACCCTAGTTGTGCACCCAAACATAGTTTGGGTGCCTATCTCTATCCTAGGGTTTATAGGATCAATGCAGGATACAAGAGTAGTATAATCTAACAGGAGCTGCCCTGGTGGGTGGAGAGGAGGGAGAAATGGGGAGGTGGGGTGGGATGTACAGGGTGATAAGCACCTCCCATCGATCCGCCTCTGCTCCTTCACACCCTTTCCTCTCCCATCTCCCACCCCTCGCTTTCCCACCCCCATTTCCCCTCTTCCCCCTCCCTTCGTCCTCCCCCTCGCCGCCCTTCACCTGGTATGTGGATGTGGCTCCGTGCCTCATGCACCGACCTCCACCTCCCTCTATTCCACATTCCACTCTTCCGCTTTCCCCTGCTTCCCCAACCCCCCCTCCTTCCCATGTCCCCTCGCCTCGCCCCCGTATCCCACGGGCAGGTACGTGGACGTCATTCTGTGTCTCATGGAGTTGACTTCTAAGTCGACTCAAAAGTCAACCCCCCCTCCTTCCCATATCCCATCGCTCCCCTTCGTCGAATCAGGTACGTGGACGTGATTCTGTGTCTCATGGAGCTGACTTCTAAGTCGACTCAAAAGTCAACCCCCCCTCCTTCCCATATCCCCTCGCTCCCCTTCGTCGAATCATGTACGTGGACGTGATTCTGTGTCTCATGGAGCTGACTTCTAAGTCGACTCAAAAGTCACCCCCCCCTCCTTCCCATATCCCCTTGCTCCCCTTCGTCGAATCAGGTACGTGGACGTGATTCTGTGTCTCATGGAGCGAGCAGGCGACTTCGTGAGCGAGGACGTGTGGTACAGAGTGGTGCAGATCGTTACCAACAACGACGATTTGCAGCCCTATGCGGTCTCGCGAGTGCTCAAGCTCATGCGCAAGCCGGCGGTGCATGAGACCATGGTGAAGGTGAGAGGCGTGCATGAGACCATGGTGAAGGTGAGAGGCGGGCATGAGACCATGGTTAAGGTGAGAGGCGGGCATGAGACCATGGTGAAGGTGAGAAGCGTGCATGAGACCATGGTGAAGGTGAGAGGCGTGCATGAGACCATGGTGAAGGTGAGAGGCGTGCATGAGACCATGGTGAAGGTGAGAGGCGTGCATGAGACCATGGTGAAGGTGAGAGGCGGGCATGAGACCATGGTGAAGGTGAGAGGCGTGCATGAGACCATGGTGAAGGTGAGAGGCGTGCATGAGACCATGGTGAAGGTGAGAGGTGTGCATGAGACCATGGTGAAGGTGAGAGGCGTGCATGAGACCATGGTGAAGGTGAGAGGCGTGCATGAGACCATGGTGAAGGTGAGAGGCGTGCATGAGACCATGGTGAAGGTGAGAGGCGTGCATGAGACCATGGTGAAGGTGAGAGGCGTGCATGAGATTATGGTGAAGGTGAGAGGCGTGCATGAGACCATGGTGAAGGTGAGAGGCGGGCATGAGACCATGGTGAAGGTGAGAGGCGGGCATGAGACCATGGTGAAGGTGAGAAGCTGCATGAGACCATGGTGAAGGTGAGAAGCGAGAGGCATGATGTTGTGATGGTACGGATGAGTCCATGGTGAAAGGGTGACTCTTGGGTCGACTCAAAAGTCGCCTGCAGCCCTATGCTGCCTCGCGAGTGCTCAAGGTCATGCGCAAGCCGGCGGTGCAAGCGACCATGGTGAAGGTGCACGGGAATGGTGAAGGTGAGAGGCATGCACAAGACAATGCTCAAGGTGAGAGGCATGAGTCACATGCTGGTGGGCAGTTAATGCTCGTTTTGCGACTGTACAATGAGGATCGGTGAACTTGAGGCACAATGAGAGAAGAACAATATATCTGTAGAATGAGGATCGGTGAACTTGAGGCACAATGAGAGAAGAACAATATATCCTTAGTAGGAAGATGGTACAAACCTGAAAGGCTAGAGCAATGTCCTTTCCAAGGATGAGTTCTAGAGAAGTGGGAAGCCACATTTATGTGGCTGAACTCTTGAGGCTAGCTGCAGCACCTCAAAGCTGAGGGCAAGGCTAGCCAACCTTGCCAAGCTAGCAATTGAGGCCACATGTTGCACATGTGGGCCAGGCTGGAACAACAGCCTACATGGCAGCATGTGGCACACCATAGGAGCCAACAAGGTGAGTATGGGATGGGTGGACAGATGGCAATGCCAACTGTGACCACACTTCACTGTGGGTGAGTGTGGTGGAGTGTGGGAGTGTCATGTTCGGCATAATGAGAAGAGAAGGTGCTGTCGATGAGAGTTGAACCCGCGACCACTAAGACCAAAGGTACCCACTGGAACATTCTTGCTTCCACAACAATATCCTTAGTAGGAAGATGGTACAAGCCTGAAAGGCTAGAGCAATGTCCTTTCCAAGGATGAGTTCTAGAGAAGTGGGAAGCCACATTTATGTGGCTGAACTCTTGAGGCTAGCTGCAGCACCTCAAAGCTGAGGGCAGGGCTAGCCAACCTTGCCAAGCTAGCAATTGAGGCCACATGTTGCACATGTGGGCCAGGCTGGAACAACAGCCTACATGGCAGCATGTGGCACACCATAGGAGCCAACAAGGTGAGTATGGGATGGGTGGACAGATGGCAATGCCAACTGTGACCACACTTCACTGTGGGTGAGTGTGGTGGAGTGTGGGAGTGTCATGTTCGGCATAATGAGAAGAGAAGGTGCTGCCGATGAGAGTTGAACCCGCGACCACTAAGACCAAAGGTACCCACTGGGACATTCTTGCTTCCACAACACCCCCCCTCAAGGATGTCCCCGGGGTAGGGTGCCTCAAGAGGAAACATGGGTGAGACCGAGAAGACCACGGATGCGAAGAAAAGGGTCACGGGGCAAAGGCTTGGTCCCAATGTCAGCGAGGTTGTCTTGAGTAGGAACATAGTGAAGGGTGATGGAGTGGTCGGCAACATGATCGCGAATGAAATGGTGCTTGATGTCGATGTGCTTGGCCTTGGGATGAAAGACGCCATCGTCCTTGGCGAGAATGATGGCACTGTTGTTGTCACACGAGATACGGGTGGGGCCGGTAGGGGGAAGTCCAACTGCAGTAAGGAGCGAAGGAAGCCATAATGCCTCGTGCACCGCGGCGCCCAGAGAGTAATATTCAGCTTCACATGAAGAGGTAGCAACGACGGCTTGGCGTTTGGACTGCCAAGAGATGAGTGACGGACCGAGGAAGAACAAGTAGCACGTAACGGAGCGACGCAGCTCCCCCTCCGGTCCCCAAGAGGCGTCACACCAGCCATGAAGTTCGAGGGTGTCGGGAATGCCACCAAGGAGAAGCCCAAGGGAGGTAGTCCCTTTCAAGTAGCGAGCAATGCGTTTGGCAGCCGAGACGTGAGGAGTAGACCAATCGTGAAGGTGACGAGCAAGAACTCCAGCGCTATATGCGAGGTCGGGACGGGTCCCCACCATGGCATACATGATGGAGCCGACAAACGAGGTGTAAGGGAAGGAGGAGGAGTGCGGGCAGGAAGTCACGGGTGGCTGAAACTTTGTGTCCATGGGAGTGGCAGCGGGGTTCAGTGGAGAGAAGGAGTAGGTGTCTAGAATGGAGGTGATGAATTTGGATTGATGAAGGTGGAGAGTGCGGGAAGTTCGATCACGAGTGATGTGAAAGCCAAGGTAGTAGGAGAGAGGTCCGAGGTCACGAAGTTTGAAGCGAGATGAAAGGGCATGCTTGAATGAGGCAAGAAGAGAGGAGGAGGAGGAGAGAATGATGAGGTCGTCAACATAGACGAGAAGCATGAAGAAGGATGCAGCTGTAGGCCGATAAGGTGAGTGAGGAGGAGCAATGAAGAGGCCGGGGTCCGCACGAGCAGCAAAGAGGTGAAAGGCAGCAAGCTCCTCACGAAGCTTGCGGTACCAGCATCGCGGAGCTTGCTTCAACCCGTACAGCGGTTTGTGCAAGAGACAAACTTGCTCAACACCATGGACCGCCGGAAGGTCATAACCGGGAGGCTGCATCATGTAGAGAATCTCATCAAGGGTGCCGTTGAGGAAGGCGTTGGAGATGTCCAGCTGATGGACGTCCAGGTTGAAAACGGCAGCTATGGTGAGAAACAAGCGGAGGGTGGCGAAGCGGACGGTAGGAGCAAAGGTGTCATGAAAATCAACACCATCACGTTGCTTGAAGCCTTTGACAACAAGGCGGGCTTTGCGGCGTTCAATAGAACCATCAGCGTTCTCCTTGACCTTGAAAATCCATTTGCATGGAATCGGCTTGCACTTGGGTGGTCGAGGAACAATGCTGTAGGTGTCATTAGCGTGCAGGGCAGCGAGTTCCGCATCAGCAGCCTTGATCCATTCGGCAGCATCAGGGCCGGTACGAGCCTCATGAATGGTTTGAGGTTCGTAATGATGGTGAAGGGCAGCATTGGCAGAGGTGTTGGAAAGAGGAGGAAGAGTGAAGTCAATGGGTTCGGAAGGGGATGGTAAGACCTTGAGGAAGGAGAAAAGGGAAGGATCGGGAAGAGCTGAAGGGGATGGCGGAGAGGAGCGAGTCGTGCAATGGGGAGGGGGAGGCGAAGAGGGAGGAGAGAAGGATGGAAGGTGAAAGTCTTGCGGCGTCGAGGGCAGAGGAAGGCTGGAAAACAATGGAGGAGGAGAAGATGTGGCTGGTGCGGGCAGGTTTGGGGATTGTGGGTGGGGGTTGGTGGAGGAAGGTATGGTGGGGGAAGGAGAGGGAGGGGAGATTGGGTCCAAGGAAGAAGGGTGTGTAGGAGGAGGTAGTGAGGAGGATGCGGGTGGAGATGACGATGGAGGGTCGCGAGAGTCGTCGGAAGGCGGTGCAGAGGGCTCCATGAAGATGACATCACGAGAAAGGATGACACGGTGCTGAGATGGGATATAGATGCGGTAAGCTTTGGTGCCGTCGAGATGACGATATCCAACCATGATGCCGGCCGTGCTTCGGTCGTCGAGCTTAGAACACCGTTGGGAAGGAATGAGGACCGAGACGGGTGAACCGAAGATGCGGAGGTGTGATACATCCGGACGTGCACCGGTCCATAGTTCCATGGGAGTCTTAGAAGTTGAACCACCCCGACTAATGGCATGATTACGAAGATAGGCAGCAGTAAGAGCGGCTTCACCCCACCAGCCTTTGTCCATGTGTGCATCATGGAGCATGGAACGGACCATCTCAAGTAAAGTCCGGTTGGCCCGCTCAGCTACTCCATTTTGCTAAGGTGTGTATGGCGTGGAGAGGTGGCGGGCGATGCCACGAGCTGTAAGGAATGAAGTGAAGGCTTTGGAAGTGAACTCCAAGGCACCGTCAGAGCGAAAGGTTTTGATGGTGTGTGGGGAATGCATGTTGTGCACCCGAGTGACGTAAGCCTTGAAGCATGAAAGTGCCTCCGACCGGTGGCGTAGGAGATACACTGTAATGTGGCGGGAGTAGTCGTCGATGAAGGTGAGAAGGTAGCGAGCGCCGCCAATGGTAGTTCCATATGAAAGCGGTCCAGCAATATCTGAGTGAATGAGTTGGAGTGGGGCTGTGGTGCGAGAATGGGACACGCAAAATGGCTGACGTGTTTGTTTCCCACGATAGCACGAGATGCAGGGGGGAATCGAGGTGGAGGAGAGGTGAAGACCGGTGACCAGCTGCTGCCGATGAAGTGTTGACAAGGCCTGCATGTTGAGATGCCCGAAACGACGATGCCAGAGGTACGAGGAGGTGGTGGTGGAGGCTGGACATGCAGTTGGCCTGATAGAAGGAGCAGCACTGCTCCCATGATGCAGTTGAAGATAAAACAGATTGTTGCGGGTGTAGCCCTCGCCAATAGGAACGTCATCAGATGTGAGAACAACGCGCCCAGCAGCGGGGAACGAGACGGCAACGCCGACAGCACCAAGCGCACGAACAGAGAGCAGGTTGTGAACTGATGAAGGGAGAAATAGAACGTTGTCAAGCTGAATGGTGGTTTCCGATGTTGGTGACCGAAGAGTAGCCACCACCGTGCCGACTCCCAAGACCTTGTAAGTCTCTCCTCCACCAAAACGAACAAGGATCTCTTCGTTGGGCTTCTTGAGAGACGAAAACAGCGAACGATCCGAGCAGATATGGGAGGATGCGCCGCTGTCCACCAGCCACGACGAAGTCCGCTCCATATTGAATGAGGAGGCCGTGAATGCCGATGCGTAGGGAGCCCCATAAGGGAAGAGGAGGAGGAGAAGGAGGATGGTGAGAATGAAGACAGCAGCGACGAGAGGAGTCCATGTGGAGAAGATGGGGTGGTGGCTGGTGCTGACAGCAATGTCCACGTACCGGGAATCAGGTACGGACTGAGGGGTTGATGGGGCAGGAGGTGGTGTGGGGGTCGGAGTAGCTTCAGCAGAGGAGCTGGTGGAGACATGCACCGAAGGTTGGAAGACGGATTTCTCCCGTTTAGAGCTTTCTTCAAGCTCTTTCTTCTTCTTCAATTTGAAGCATTCATCGATGGTGTGACTCGTTTTCTTGCAGTAACGGCAGGTGGGCGACTGGCGTGAACCGGAGCGAAGAGGGTGGGAGGGCTGGGAATTGAGGTTGTATGCACCCTCCATGTTACGGCTTGTACCAGATTGTGACCGCTCCCAATCGGCATCGAGTAGGCGTGACTGTAGGTATTCAACCGTCATAGACTTTATGTCTTTCACGGTGCAAATGGTTTCAGTAAGGGTCTTGAACGAGTCCGGAAGGTTGAGGATGATGGAGATTACCACCACCCATGATGGTAGCTCAAAGCCGGCAGATTTGAGTTGGTGTGTAAGGTTTCCAACTCGATCAAAGTAGGAGCGAAGACTTGTTGTTGGGTCCATCCGTGTAGTGATGAGATCCCGGAGGAGAGCCACTTGTGCATGGTTGCCCATGCAGTCGAACCGCGCCATGATACATCCCCACATATCCTTTGTCGTGTTGGCTTGAGCAAGAGTGAGCGATAGTTGAGGATGGACGGCTGACATGAGAAGATAGTATGCATGCTCCTCTTTTTCTTCATCCGGCAGCGAAGCAATCGAATGGGTTGTCTTAGGGGCTGCACCGCTGTTGCCTTCGGTAGTCTCTCCACCGCTGGTTGTGGAAGAGGAGATTGAAGGACGCGAAGCAACCTTGGGATCTCCAAGGAGGGAGATCAGCCCGAGGACATTGAAGATGTAGCAGATCTTTTTCTTCCATGGAATGAAGTTGGAACCATTTGGTTCCAAGGTGGGAAGGGTGTGCCGACCGAGAGGCGTTTCAACTTGAGCCATGAAGTGTGCAACGTTCACTAAGCTAGAAGCCTTGCTCTGATACCATGTAGAATGAGGATCGGTGAACTTGAGGCACAATGAGAGAAGAACAATATATCCTTAGTAGGAAGATGGTACAAGCCTGAAAGGCTAGAGCGATGTCCTTTCCAAAGATGAGTTCTAGAGAAGTGGGAAGCCACATTTATGTGGCTGAACTCTTGAGGCTAGCTGCAGCACCTCAAAGCTGAGGGCAGGGCTAGCCAACCTTGCCAAGCTAGCAATTGAGGCCACATGTTGCACATGTGGGCCAGGCTGGAACAACAGCCTACATGGCAGCATGTGGCACACCATAGGAGCCAACAAGGTGAGTATGGGATGGGTGGACAGATGGCAATGCCAACTGTGACCACACTTCACTGTGGGTGAGTGTGGTGGAGTGTGGGAGTGTCATGTTCGGCATAATGAGAAGAGAAGGTGCTGTCGATGAGAGTTGAACCCGCGACCACTAAGACCAAAGGTACCCACTGGGACATTCTTGCTTCCACAACAATATCCTTAGTAGGAAGATGGTACAAGCCTGAAAGGCTAGAGCAATGTCCTTTCCAAGGATGAGTTCTAGAGAAGTGGGAAGCCACATTTATGTGGCTGAACTCTTGAGGCTAGCTGCAGCACCTCAAAGCTGAGGGCAGGGCTAGCCAACCTTGCCAAGCTAGCAATTGAGGCCACATGTTGCACATGTGGGCCAGGCTGGAACAACAGCCTACATGGCAGCATGTGGCACACCATAGGAGCCAACAAGGTGAGTATGGGATGGGTGGACAGATGGCAATGCCAACTGTGACCACACTTCACTGTGGGTGAGTGTGGTGGAGTGTGGGAGTGTCATGTTCGGCATAATGAGAAGAGAAGGTGCTGCCGATGAGAGTTGAACCCGCGACCACTAAGACCAAAGGTACCCACTGGGACATTCTTGCTTCCACAACAGCGACCGTGGTCAAGGTGAGAGGCATGCATGCATGAGAGACCATGGTCAAGGTGAGAAGCAGTGGTGAGAGAGTATGGTGAATGAGTTGCGAAGAGCGTGTGGGAGTGATGGCCAGCTCGCAGGACGTTGCTGCTCCTTTCGCAATTTCTGGCTTCTTTAAGCCTTTCCCATGGTCATGCTAGTCCCTTTTGACAGAATTGGAACTGAACTGATTGATTAAGAAAGAAGGCACTAGGCCTTAAGTACAAACGAGGTTGGGATGGGCAAGGCTAGGGAAAGGATGGGATGGGAATCCTAGCAAATCTCTAATTGGTGAGTTGGCAGATTTGCAGGATTACGAGGGAATCCCAACCAGATAGGGTTGGGATCACAAACTACACCCAACCCACAAATAACCTACGCGATATAGAATATAGTACACGAAGTGTTGACAGCCTAATTCTAACACCTTTGTGTTATCCAATGGATGTGTGCATGTGTGTGCATGTGTGATGTGTGCATGTGTGATGTGTGTATGCGTGATATGCGCATGTGTGATGTGTGCATGTGTGATGTGTGCATGTGTGATGTGTGCATGTGTGATGTGTGCATGTGTGATGTGTGCATGTGTGATGTGTGCATGTGTGATGTGTGCATGTGTGATGTGCGCATGTGTGATGTGCACGAGCGTACATGTCCACATTATTGAATGTGTGCATGTGTGCATGGGCATGGCAGGTGGGCAGCTACATATTGGGCGAGTTCAGCCATCTGTTGCCACAACAGCCAGGCTCCACAGCAGCGGACGTTTTTGCCGTGCTGCACGACAAGTTCCACACCGTCTCGTGCGTCCAACCCCCCACGTCCAAACCCCCGCCCCCCTCTCTCCCTCCACTCTCTTTCCCGGTGACGTTTGTCGTCTTTGCAGTGCTGCATGACAAGTTCCATACCGTCTCGTGTGTCAAACTGAAAGCAACACCAAACCCCCGCCCCCTCTCCCCTTCTCCACTCTCTTTCCCTCCACTCACTCCCTTCTCTCCTTTTTCCCCTCACTCTCTCACCTCTCCCTTTCCTTCCCCCTTTTCTCTCCTCGCCCTTTTCCCCCCTCTCCCTCTCCCCTCTCCTTCCACCTTCTCACCTCTCATTTTTTCTCATCGCAATTCAATATGCACATGAGCTGATGACTTTGCTGTGGGGTTAACTCACTTTCTCTTTGTCTTTTCACACCGTGCATCTCCCTGTCACTCTCACCACACCACCCCTTCTTGCACTCCTCCCTCCCTCACCTCCCTTATAAACCCCACCCGACCCCCACAAGCCCCCAACCTTGTCCACCCCCACTCTTCATCCCCCCCTTTTGCACCCAAACTTTCCTCCCCCACCCTTGCGCCCCATCTTGCTCCCCTCCTTGCCCCCCTCCCCTTTCCCCCGTTGCTCCTCCACCTCCCTTCTCTTACACCCTCACCACCACTGGCCCCCATGGCAGCATCCCCACGCGCGCGCTCATGCTGTCGGCGTATGTGAAGCTGGCAGTGCGCTCGCCGCCCGACGATGCGCTGCACGGCAAGCTCATGGCCATCTTCACTCGGTGAGGGACCCCCCACCCCGCCCTCATGGCCAGCTTCACTCGGTCGGTACATGGCTGGCTTGGACCGGGGGGGTGGGTGGGGGGTTGGGTAAGGGAATGGGGAAGGGCGCCATGCGGTGGGGGGTGGGGGGGTGGGTGGGTGAGTGGTGTTGCGATGCCACTTGAATCGAGTCAGGCCCGCCTGCACTGCCAGTGCATGGCCATATTCACTTGGTGGGTTGTCAGGGTGGGGGGTTGGGGGTGGGGGATTGGGTGGGTGAGGGTATGGAGAAGTGCGAGTGAGCAGCACGTAGGTGCCATGCCTCGCTGTATATATCCCTTGTGATGCCTCATCACATGCCCTCTTGCCCGCTCACCTCCTTTTGAGTCGACTCAAAAGCAGCCTCATCCCATGCCCTCTTGCCCGCTCACCTCTTCCCCCACCCTCGTCCCTCCCAATGCCATCCTCCCCCCTTTTCTCCGCAGCCTCTAGAGCAGTGTGGTTTCGTGGTGCAGCAGCGGGCAGAGGAGTATGCCTCGCTGTTTGATGCTCCCATCGCCCGCCATTGTCCCTGCCCCCAACCCCTCCTTCACCCACCTTTTTATTCCCCCTTCTCCCTGCAGCTTCGAGGGCAGTGGGGATGCAGAGGTGCAGTGGGGATGCAGAGGTGCAGTGGGGATGCTAGGGATGAGCAAAGGGCGAACACGGACATGTTCGTGTTCGCCCCTTCTCGAACACGTCCTTTTGCCGAACCGAACAGTGTTCGGTTCGGCGAACAGTTTAGCCAAAAACAGGTGTTCGCTGTTCGCCTGTGGAGGCGTGTTCGGGCGAACCTCGAACACGTTCGTGTTCGACACGGGGCGTTTTGCAGCAGCGCCACGAACACGAACGTGTTCGGGCGAACATCGAACACGTTCGGGCGAACGATTTAAGCTGAAAAACATGTTCGAGGCGAACCGAACAGGTGTTTGCCACCTTGCTCAAGCCTAGGGGATGCAGAGGTGCAGTGGGGATGCAGAGGTGCAGTGCAGCAGCAGCACGCCTCGCTGTCATGCTCTCTTCTCCCCCCCTCACCTCCTCTGTCGCATTCTCCCCCTCCATTTCCCCCCCACCCCTCTTTCACCTCCCCCACTCCCCCTTATCACGTATGCAGTTACAAGAGCAGTGTGGGCGCGGAGGTACAGGAGTGAGTACGCATCGCTGTGTGCCTCTGTGGTGCCTCTGTGGTGCCTCTGTGGTGCCTCGTCTTGTGCCCTTTTAGCCACTCACCTCCTCCCTCTCCTTCTTCCTCGCCCCCGCCCCATCCCTCCCCCGTGCGTGCAGCTACGAGAGCAGTGTGGACGCGGAGGTGCAGCAGCGCGCAGTGGAGTACGCGTCGCTGTGCCGCAGGGGCGGCCCCGCCATGGCCGACATCGTTGCTGACATGCCCAAGTTCCCTCAGCGCGAGGTGAGGCCTGCTGGAAAGGAGGTGGGGAGGAGGTGGGGAGGCGGTGGGGAGGCGGTGGGGAGGAGGTGGGGAGGCGGGGGAAAGGAGGTGCACACAGTGGCGAGTTTGGGAGAGACGAGACGAGCGGGTGAGGAGCAGGGTGGTGTATATGAGTGGGCCAGTTCCCTGAGCACATTGTTGGTGGCATGTCCCAGTTCCCTGAGCACCAGGTGGGGGGAGGTGGGGTGGGGGAGATAGTGAGAGAGAGAGGTGGAGGGGAGAGCAGGGGCACACTGCAACATGTACTCCAGGGGCACACGAGAGGAAGCAGGGTGAGAGCAAGGGCGAGTGTGCTGGGTGGTGGTAGTCGACCGGCTTCACTCATCTTTCTCCTCCTCACCCTCATGCAAGTCCCTTTCTCACCACCATCACTGCATCGCCTCCCCCTCACGTCCCTCCCTGCTGGCAGTCATTGCTGCTGCGGCGTGCGCCGGACAATGAGGGCGACAGTGCGGAGGTGAGCGCAGTGACTCTCAGGGCCACTCAAGGGCCAACCCCCCGAACCCCTTTCTCTTCTCCACCCCCCGCCAGTCCTCGCTGCTGCGCCGCGCACCGGACAACGAGGGGGACAGTGCGGAGGTGAGCGCAGTGAAGCTGCGCGCGCACCAGGCCAACGCCCTCGCCCTCGTCCCCGTCTCCGCCCCCGCCTCTGCCTCTGCCGCCAAGCTCCCTTCTGCCACTGCTGCCCCCGCTGCTGCTGATGGTGGTGTGGGGCCGGTGCGACGACCACAGCCAGCCTCCTCTGCTGATGTGAGCACCAGTGCAGATGTGAGCACCAGTGCAGATGTGAGCACCAGTGCAGATGTGAGCACCAGTGCAGATGTGAGCACCAGTGCAGATGTGAGCACCAGTGCAGATGTGAGCACCAGTGCAGATGTGAGCACCACTGCAGATGTGAGCACCAGTGCAGATGTGAGCACCAGTGCAGATGTGAGCACCACTGCAGATGTGAGCACCAGTGCAGATGTGAGCACCACTGCTGATGTGAGCACCACTGCAGATGTGAGCTCCACTGCTCTCCATCCATCATGTTGCCCGCCCGTGCTGCCATGCTGCCGTGCTGCCACTCTCCCCGCTTGCCATAGTTGCCCCCTCGCCCCTCATGCTCTTTTCCCTCCGCTCAACCCAACCTATGGCTTCCTCCCAATCACAACTCATCCGCACACATCCCCTACACGTCCTCTCAATTCTCCCCCCTTCTTCCCCCCTTTCCCATCAGGACACCCCGTCGTCACCACCCCCGTCCACCACCCAGCCTGCACCCGCTCAGCCGCCCACCTCACTGGTGGACGAGCCAGCAGCCGCGCCCCCCCCTGCAGCAGGCAACGAGCTCGCCCTCGTGCCCGCTGACTCTGCCAACGCTGTGGGCGACCTGCTGGGGGAGCTGCTCTCACTTGATCCCTCTGCCTCCGCCTCCAACGCCCCTGCTGCTGCTGCGGCCGCCCCTGCTCCTGGTGCTGCTGCTGCCGCTGGTGCTGGTGGTTTGGGGGGAGCCGAGGCCGGGGCCATGGCACTGACGCTCTTTGACCAGACTGCTGCACCCACAGCTGTGGTGCAGGTACGGTGGGATGCTGTGGTGCAGGTACGGTGGGATGCTGTGGTGCAGGTACGGTGGGATGCTGTGGTGCAGGTACGGTGGGATGCTGTGGTGCAGGTACGGTGGGATGCTGTGGTGCAGGTACGGTGGGATGCTGTGGTGCAGGTACGGCGGGATGCTGTGGTGCAGGTACGGCGGGATGCTGTGGTGCAGGTACGGCGGGATGCTGTGGTGCAGGTACGGCGGGATGCTGTGGTGCAGGTACGGCGGGATGCTGTGGTGCAGGTACGGTGGGATGCTGTGGTGCAGGTACGGTGGGATGCTGTGGTGCAGGTACGGTGGGATGCTGTGGTGCAGGTACGGTGGTATGCTGTGGTGCAGGTACGGTGGGATGCTGTGGTGCAGGTACGGTGGGATGCTGTGGTGCAGGTACAGTGGGATGCTGTGGTGCAGGCACGGTGGGATGCTGTGGTGCAGGTACGGTGGGATGCTGTGGTGCAGGTACGGTGGGATGCAGTGGTGCAGGTACGGTGGGATGCTGTGGTGCAGGTACGGTGGGATGCTGTGGTGCAGGTACGGTGGGATGCTGTGGTGCAGGTACGGTGGGATGCCGTGGTGCAGGTACGGTGGTATGCTGTGGTGCAGGTACGGTGGGATGCTGTGGTGCAGGTACGGTGGGATGCTGTGGTGCAGGTACGGTGGGATGCTGTGGTGCAGGTACGGTGGGATGCTGTGGTGCAGGTACGGTGGTATGCTGTGGTGCAGGTACGGTGGGATGCTGTGGTGCAGGTACGGTGGGATGCTGTGGTGCAGGTACGGCGGGATGCTGTGGTGCAGGTACGGCGGGATGCTGTGGTGCAGTGCAGGTACGGTGGGATGCTGTGGTGCAGGTACGGTGGGATGCTGTGGTGCAGGTACGGCGGGATGGTGTGGTGCAGGTACGGCGGGATGTGGAGGTGGTGTGTTGTTGTGCAGTTACAGTGAGATGCGGCGGTGGAGTGAAACAGATGCTGCGTCCTGTGTGGGGGTGGGTGGAGGATGCTGCGTCCTGTGTGGGGGTGGGTGGAGGATGCTGCGTCCTGTGTGGGGGTGGGTGGAGGATGGGGGAGGAACCAGAAGGGCAAGGAGCGATGGAGGGGAAGGAGAGATGAGCGGAAAGGGAAGCGGCTGGTGAAAGTGGGAGGGCAGTCTGTCAGCCCTCTCACTCCATCCGCCTCTGCCATGCCCTCACAGTGCCAGTGTGAGGACAGCAAGGGGACAGTGCTGCCCCCCTCCCATTCTTCCACATCCGCCCTTTTCCCCCTCCCACCCTGACCTGCGTGGCAGCCACTGGGCAGTGTGGCGGAGTGGTTCAGGGCGCTGATGGGCAAGGACAGCGGTGTGCTGTATGAGGACCCGCACCTGCAGGTGAGAGCCTTTTGAGTCACCTCGTGCTGTATGAGGACCCGCACCTGCAGGTGAGAGCCTTTTGAGTCACCTCGTGCTGTATGAGGACCCGCACCTGCAGGTGAGAGCCTTTTGAGTCACCTCGTGCTGTATGAGGACCCGCACCTGCAGGTGAGAGCCCCTCTCTGAGAGGGGAGCGCCACTGCAGGTAGGGACGATGGTAGGATATGCATATGTCAGGTACTCATCTCGTACCTATCCCATGCCGTGTTACTGTGAGAATCCCATAGTTGGGATGAGAGGTGAACTCAAGAGTTGATTTGATTAGAAAGATCGTGGGTACATATAAGCGATGAGAAGTGGGGGGACCTAGGTTGGGTACCCTGCGACATTATTGGTGAGCCAATGGGAGTGGCCACCAATAATGTTTTGGAGGTGGCTGCCAATTATTGGAGGGCCTGGTTCCCCCCGCCAAATGTGGCAGAGTGGGGTTGGGACGAGCCCAACCAAAAATGGTTGGGGCGCCTTGGCCCAAAGTGTACACCCATGTTTGGGTGTTACACTCGCACATTTACAACCCAACTGATGCTATAATCTAACACAACCCCTTAGCAGAAGAAGGGTTTAAATGTGCACAACCCCTGAATTTTCAAGCCGGGAAGGGGGCTGCTGCAGGTGAGGAGGCAAGCCAGCCCAAGGTGCTGCGGCGGTGAGGTCGCACGCCAGCCAGGAGGGGGGGCTGCTGCAGGTGAGGAGGCAAGCCAGCCCAAGGTGCTGCGGCGGTGAGGTCGCACGCCAGCCGGGAGGGGGGGCTGCTGCAGGTGAGGAGGCAAGCCAGCCCAAGGTGCTGCGGCGGTGAGGTCGCACGCCAGCCGGGAGGGGGGGCTGCTGCAGGTGAGGAGGCAAGCCAGCCCAAGGTGCTGCGGCGGTGAGGTCGCACGCCAGCCGGGAGGGGGGGCTGCTGCAGGTGAGGAGGCAAGCCAGCCCAAGGTGCTGCGGCGGTGAGGTCGCACGCCAGCCGGGAGGGGGGGCTGCTGCAGGTGAGGAGGCAAGCCAGCCCAAGGTGCTGCGGCGGTGAGGTCGCACGCCAGCCGGGAGGGGGGGCTGCTGCAGGTGAGGAGGCAAGCCAGCCCAAGGTGCTGCGGCGGTGAGGTCGCACGCCAGCCGGGAGGGGGGGCTGCTGCAGGTGAGGAGGCAAGCCAGCCCAAGGTGCTGCGGCGGTGAGGTCGCACGCCAGCCGGGAGGGGGGGCTGCTGCAGGTGAGGAGGCAAGCCAGCCCAAGGTGCTGCGGCGGTGAGGTCGCACGCCAGCCGGGAGGGGGAGGCTGCAGCAGGTGAGGAAGCGAGGGGGGAAGGAGGGCTTGAATGCCCTGAGGAGGAGTAAGCGAGGGGGGAGGAGGGCTTGAATGCCCTGAGGAGGAGTAAGCGATGGGGGAGGAGGGCTGGAATGCCCTGAGGAGGAGTAAGCGATGGGGGAGGAGGGCTGGAATGCCCTGAGGAGGAGGAAGCGAGGGGGGAGGAGGGCTGGAATGCCCTGAGGAGGAGGAAGCGAGGGGGGAGGAGGGCTGGAATGCCCTGAGGAGGAGGAAGCGAGGGGGGAGGAGGGCTGGAATGCCCTGAGGAGGAGGAAGCGAGGGGGGAGGAGGGCTGGAATGCCCTGAGGAAGAGGAAGCGAGGGGGGAGGAGGGCTGGAATGCCCTGTGGAGGAGAAGGCGAGGGGTGAGGAGGCTAAAAGGCTTCAAGGAGGAGGTACAGAGAGAAAAAGGGGCGGAAGCGTGTTGAAGAGAGGGTGAAGGTGTGGAGGAACGCTGTGAGGAGCGGCGTGGTGGGCGAAATGCCCTCGGGAGCGAAACTGACAGGCGAAATGCCCTCGGGGGCGAAACTGACGGGCGAAATGCCCTCGGGAGCGAAACTGACGGGCGAAATGCCCTCGGGAGCGAAACTGACGGGTGAAATGCCCTCGGGAGCGAAACTGACGGGCGAAATGCCCTTGGGAGCGAAACTGACGGGCGAAATGCCCTCAGGAGCGAAACTGACGGGCGAAATGCCCTCGGGAGCGACACGGACGGGCGAAATGCCCTCGGGAGCGAAACTGGCGGTCGGGAGCGAAACTGATGGGCGAAATGCCCTCGGGAGCGAAACTGACGGGCGAAATGCCCTCGGGAGCGAGACTGACGGGCGAAATGCCCTTGGGAGCGAAATTGACGGGTGAAATGCCCTTGGGAGCGAAACTGACTGGCGAAATGCCCTCGGGAGCGAAACTGACGGGCGAAATGCCCTCGGGAGCGAGACTGACGGGCGAAATGCCCTTGGGAGCGAAATTGACGGGCGAAATGCCCTTGGGAGCGAAACTGACGGGCGAAATGCCCTTGGGAGCGAGATTGACGGTCGACGCGTTCGTCCCACAGGTCCGCGCGTTCGTCCCGCAGGTTCGCGCGTTCGTCCCGCATGTCCGCGCGTTCGTCCCGCAAGTCAGCGCGTTTGTCCCGCAGGTCAGCGCGTTTGTCCCGCAGGTCAGCGCGTTTGTCCCGCAGGGCCGCGCGTTTGTCCTGCTGGTCGGTGCGGATAAGTGCTGCAAACGCCGCGAAGGGAAGCCTGAGGAAGGGGAGCAAAGACCATGAAGGTGGCACGGTGCCGAGGATCTCCTAGCACAGCACAGCACAGCACAGCACAGCACAGCACAGCACAGCACAGCACAGCACAGCACAGCACCGCACAGCACAGCACAGCACAGCACGGTGGCTGGACGTTCCTAGGGAGGGGGAAGGTGGCGTTAGCCAAAACAGCTCTATACCATGTGAGAATCCCATAGTTGGGATGAGAGGTGAACTCAAGAGTTGATTTGATTAGAAAGATCGTGGGTACATATAAGCGATGAGAAGTGGGAGACCTAGGTTGGGTACCCTGCGACATTATTGGTGAGCCAATGGGAGTGGCCACCAATAATGTTTTGGAGGTGGCTGCCAATTATTGGGGGGCCTGGTTCCCCCCGCCAAATGTGGCAGAGTGGGGTTGGGACGAGCCCAACCAAAAATGGTTGGGGCGCCTTGGCCCAAAGTGTACACCCATGTTTGGGTGTTACACTCGCACATTTACAACCCAACTGATGCTATAATCTAACAGTTACCCCTTCTTACCCAATACTGGGATTCGCTGAATGCACCGCCTTGCTCCATCTTCCCGCCTCCTTGCTTCACGTCTCTCATCCCATTGCTTCATTCCCTGCACCACCTTGCCACTCGCTCTCCCACGCTTCGACTGCCCATCACCACCCGTGCACCGCCCGTCATCCACGTCTGCATTGCATGGCCTGGCATGGCTGGTCGTCCACCCCACGCGTGCATGGCATGGCAGATCGGGGTGAAGAGTGAGTGGAAGCCACCGCACGGCCGGCTGGTGCTCTTCCTCGGCAACAAGGAGACGGCGCCGCTCACCGCTCTCACCGCCTCCACACCGCCCACGCCTGGCCTGCGAGTCATCCTCTCGCCGCTGCCTCAAGTCATCCCCCCCCGCGCCCAGGTCAGTCTCAGTCCCTTTCTCTGCTTCCCTCTCCCCCCGTCTCGCTGCTCTCGCCCACCCCCCACGCTGCTCTTGCCGATCCTTCTTTCTGCTATTGCCTCATCTTTCTGCTAAACATCCCTCTTGAGATCATCTCCCAACCCCTCAGCCTTCAACCCCTCAGCCTTCAACCCCTCACCCTTCAACCCCTCCACCCCTTCACCTAGCATCATCTTCCTCCCTCCTCCGCCCCATTCCTTCCCCCCCCCTCCCCTGTCCCGCCCCCGACAGATCCAGCTACCAGTGGAGGCGGCAGCAGTGCTGGTACCCAGGGAGGCGCCGCGCCTGGACATGGCGTACACGCTGCCGTCGGGCACGCGCGTGCCGCTGCGCCTGCACCTGCCCGTGGCGCTCTGCAAGGCGCTGCTGCCGGCGTCGCTGTCCTCTGCTGACTTCTTTGCTCGCTGGAAGACCCTCTCTGCTCCGCCGCACAAACAGCAAGTCGTGGTGCGTGCTGCTGTGTGCTGGGGGGTGGTGCTGGGTGCTGGGTGGTGGGGGGTGGTGGGGTGTACACATGCCGCTACCTGCTGCCACCTCTCACCTCCTCACCTCTCACTCACTCAATACTCTCCCCATGACAGGACTTCACGTCACTCCCACACTCACCCACTCGCTCGCACATCCTCCCCCCCCATGTCCCCCTCACATCTGCCCCTTCCCCCCACCAGCTGAGAGGAGTGAAGCCGCTACCGCTGCCTGCACTGGCACAGCTGCTGGCATCCATGCGCATCAACCCACTGCCCAACCTGGTCAGACCCGCCGTGCCGCCTCTCCCGCTTTCCACCACCAACCCTTTGCTCTTTCAACCCCCCCTCCGTTTCACAATTTCTGGCATTTTCCACCCCATCCCCCTCTATCCTCGCTCACCCTCTCCCCCACTCACCCCTCTTCTCATCCCTTTCCCCGTCCCTCTCGCCCTCGTGCTCCCCTCTCCCCCCATGGGCGCACCAGGACCCAAACCCCAACAACTTAGTGGCGTGCTGCACGTTGCATACAGAGACCACCCCGCCCACCCTCCTCCTCGTAAGCTGCTACCCCCGTGCTCTCCTCCCAACGCCTTCCTGCCTCTCACTGTGCCTCCCCTCCTGCATTCCTGCTTTTCGGCTTGCCCTTCTTCTCATTGGTGTTCCTCGGCTCCCCTCTCCACTCCACTCCCTCTCTTTCCTCCTCTAAGCCCATCCTCACTAACACCTCCCAACCCCCACCATCTCCCACCATCCCCCATCACCTCGCACCACCCCTCATCTGTTACAATCAAGGACTGGGTCTAGGCACTTTAGGAGGGCAGAAATAACTCAAAATCGTAAACTAAGTTTCTGGACATAAAAATTGTGTTTACAAGAAACGCCAAAGACGACAAGTTTACCGTTCGAACTTCTTCAAGAAAGCATGTGTTATTCCTAATCTGAATCGTACTAGAAAGTGAAGTATAGCTTGAGATATATGATTATCGGTGCACTGAGGGTATGCTGTAGCTTAATCTTAATTTGATCACAACAGTTAAGCAAGAATCAGAGTAGCAAGAAACTAGGTAAGAGATAATGAAAAACATGAGAGTCAAGGTCTCCAGATAGTCCCCAACAAAGAATACCATGACCACACCAAATCCCTTCCCTATAAGATCCCAACTTTCATCTTGGTTTTTTTTTCAACCCATGCAATTCGCCTCATCCAAATCGGCCACATTTGCCGTTCTGGTTTGGCTTCCCCCAACCACTTGGCAGCAACTACAGTAGAGTGACGAGTTTTCCAACCCGAATTTATTTGCTCCATATAGAATTTCCCTGCCAATTCCCATTGTTGCCGCATCACAATCATAATTTCGAACGATCAGAAATTTCCCATTCTTGGCTCGTCAGAAAACTCTTGAACAGAGACGTCATTTCATATATATGCTCAAGCTAAATCAAATTCATACACACACACAATTTTTAAACCGTACCAAATTTAAAGTCTTTCGAACATGCATACCACGCATGTAGGGTAGAAAAATAGGATGGGAGGCAGACAGATGTGAATGCAAATGACCCTATTCCACCACCCTCCATCACCCCTTACCACCCTCCATCACCGCTCACCACCCCAGGCGCGTCTGGAGACGGACCCAGCGGACCGCTCGCAGCTGCGCCTCACCTGCGCCTCCTCCGACCCCACCGCCTCCGCTGCGTGTGTGGCCTGCCCTGGGGGGCGGGGACAAATGGGGGGGGAGGGGGGGGGGGTGGGGGGGGGAAGGGAAGGGGACAGGGAAGGAGAAGTGGAGGGGGTGGAGAAAGGGGGTTGGGGGTGGTGAGGGGTGTATGTGGGGCATGGGGAAGGATGGTTAAATGATGCAGTTTGTATCGTGTTGCTCATGCCCCCACTTGCTGTTTCTCCGCCCCATTGTTCTCACTGCCTGCCACCTCATTTGTGGCTCCTTTGCCACCCCTCCACGCTCACCTGCATGCCTGCCCTGTGCTTCCCTGCCCCTTGCCTCCCCTTCCCTTCCCTTCCCTCCCCTTCCCTCCCCTTCCCTTTCCTCCCCCCCCCCTGCCCTCTCCTGCGTGCCCCGGCCTGCCCCGCGCCCCAGGCTGAAGGAATTTATCAGCGACAACATCAGTGAGCTGCCGCCAGCCTGGCTGCAGCCGCCCCCAGTGGCCGCCCAGCAGCAGCAAGGGGGAGCCGCAATGCTCGCCCTGCCCTGGTCCGGTGCCCCTGCTGCTGCTGCTGTTTCTTCCCCTCCTGGCCCCACTGCCCTCGCCCCCTCGCCCGCTGCCCCTCACATGGTGCTTCCGGGGGGTGCTCCTCCCCCTGCTGCTGCCGGCATGGCACCCATGCTGTATGGGGGCATGCCCATGCAGGGGCCTGAGATGGGCATGGCTGGACCCATGGGGATGGCAGGGCCAGGCATGCCTCCTCCCATGCAGATGGGCGGCGGCATGGGTAGGCCGGGTGGCATGGGGCCGGGCGGCATGGGGCCGGGCGGCATGGGCCCAGGCGGCATGGGGCCGGGCGGCATGGGCCCAGGCAGCATGGGGCCGGGCGGCATGGGCCCAGGCGGCATGGGGCCGGGTGGCATGGGCATGGGGGGGCAGATGCCCATGCACGTGGGGGGGATGCCTGGTGCCATGGGCATGCCAGGTGCCATGCCGGGTTACAGGCCTGGAGGGCCTGCTTCCGGGTCCCTGCTCTGACCACAATCATGCCCTAACCTTGTTCTGCAAATTTACCCGTGACACGGTTATGCTGCTTTGAGTATGCTACGGTAGCTAGTGTTTCGGAATTCCTCATGTGGTGTTTGTAAGCTGTACATGTTATAGTCATAATCAGGGCCTACATTATTATAAATTTTATGTCTGAATTTCTGGATTCTGAACACGTTTTTACTGGTTCATCTGATGTCGTACGGTGTGCGCTAGTGGATCTCCGTGCTTCACACAACTGGTACACTTCAAAGACGGACGACCGTTAGACACGCGGAGTAGACACAACCATTTCATTTGAAACTACTTGCCCACTGACCGTCAAACGTCTTCTTCACCGACTCGTACTCAGCATTTGCTAGAGGGTTTAGCGCGTGGTCACAAGCGACAACGGGTGTTTGTGGGGGTGTTGTACGATTTGTCACCACTCGAACAATGGTCTGATTCGTGTTAAAAAAGATTCGGTAACAGGGTAGTGTACACCAAACCCTGATTCCGTCAGGGTAACCTAAAAACCTATCAGGGTGAAATAAAACATGCTCTTTTAAGATGTTGGAAACAATAAGTCCTAAGTGCGCTTCTGTCGTATCAAACCCAAGGCACCAAGCGAAGCAGTCCCAAACGAAGCATCGAGTCAACCTCGGAGGTTAGGGTAACCGCCTGGAGGTTACGAGAAAGTCAAAGGTCGCTGACCTTTGACTCGACAATCACAGCGCGACAGTTAAGGACACACAACTGACTCGTTACAGAGCAGTTGCCCGAGTCGCACTGTATCGAACCGCAACAGCAATACAGTTATCTACCTATCTATTCGTATTCCCTGTACTCTTATATAAATCCTTGTATTTGCTTGTTTAATTTAATCTACTTTGCTCTCACACACCAGTGCAAGGTCGGTTCACAATCCTCATTAAAATGCTTCCGCTATTACAAGTTTCTACCCAAGAGTTCTCCTCTGCAAAGATCCTAAGGGCTATTTTTTCAGCCCAACATGGTATGAGAGCTGACAGGGGAAAACTCTAACCTTTTTCATCATTACAAGACATGGCAACAAACAAGGAAAGGAGCTCCCCCAATGGCTCCTCGGGCACTACTCCTACTCCACCGCCAGCCTCTGGCCTACAGACAGAGGAAGACACGGCAGCAAGACCAAGGGGAACATCAACCGAGACCCCCACGAACCATCCTTCTGACTTCGACCAGAGCATGATGGAGAAATTTTTCTCCTTCATGTCCTTCTACGAGCAACACCAGCAGTCGGGACCTGCACAGACACACAACAGCAACAACGGAGCGACACCCATGAGCCTTGACGGGTCGTCATATGCGCGAGGGAATCAACAGCAGCAACCCACCTTCGCCCCGTACGAACGCGGGTCGATCAGCTTCCTGCCTCAACCTCCACCTGCGCAAGACAAACCAATGGATGCCTTACAAGTACAATCGCAGTTCGCGCATGTTCTGAAACTACAGACGTCAAGACCTTTCGACGGAAAGGACTTCTTTACCTGGTCCTTTGAATTCGAGTTGATGATGGAGGGCGCGCAGATACTCGGCTTCTTCGACGGATCCCTGCAGTATCCAGCAAACGGGACACAGTATGAAAAGCAGCAGTATACGTATCAATCCATGATGGCGTATACTATTCTACTGAGAAACATCACACCAACCCAGCAGCAGAACATTCGCTCCTACCGGAACTTCGGCAATTCGGCGGAACTCGCGTACGGCCATCTGAAGAACCTGTACCAGGCAATAGACAGTGTAAACCAGAGCAGGTTAATGGCGCAGCTGACAACAGTGGAAATGAAACCAGGAGAAAAGGGGTTGGCGTATATCAGCCGATGTCGCGAATTGCGCGACAAGCTTCTTCGATGTGGAGGGTCAATCTCTGAAGACGCCTTCGTAACAGTCGTCATCGGCGGCCTCGGTCCTCAGTGGCGCGCCACCAAAGCAATTCTTCGAGCACACGGGAGGATCTCCGAAGCGGCACTTTGCGCAGAAATTCACGCGGAACAACAGGATATGGACCTGCAAGAAGAAAGAAACAAGAAAAGGACATTAGCACCGAAGTTTGCTTTCCATACTCAGCGACGACACAACTACTACAACAATCGACAGCAGCTGCCGAAGTTAGTACCTCCATTTTGTCACATCTGCAAGACATCAGGACACCCACGCACGCACTGCCCGTCTCGACAGACAACACCACAGCGACAACTGCGGGCTTCAAGCACCCAAGCTGCTTCGACACAAGCAAGCTCGACAACCACGATTCAAGCTTCAACAACCTCAACTGGACAACCTACGCAAGGAGCAAGACATATAGTCAACTGCATGGTCAAGATAAACGACTCTTGCGTAACAGAGTCACCACCCCATTACTCACCGGAAGAGGAGCTCGACAATAGGACGCCTCGTCGCGAATCACTCCATCCAAATCCGACTTACGCCGCCATCGCTCAAAGTGAACCGTCCGGCCAAGACACCTGGTTCTTGGACAGTTGCTGCGGGCAACACATATGCTCGTCCGGGCGTTTCGTACAACGTGAACATCGACTCCAACGGGAAGTAATCATCACGGTTGCCAACAACCAAAACCTGCGCACACGAAGGCAAGGAGTGGTACAGCTTCAGTCACGAGAAACAAATGTCATACTGCACATGTCTAAGGTACTCATCACTGAAGGACTCGGCTACAACTGAGCGTTAGCCAGTTGATGGCGAAAGGAATTCATCTGGAAGCCGACAGCACGACCCAGGAGTTCAAGCTTTACCACGGGAGAGGCGGTCTCTACATCGTAAAAGCAGTGCTGAAGAACAACGTCTTCGTCCTCGACTTCGTTCCTGACCTCGGCACTGCAGACAGCGACGCCATTGTGAACTTTGCTGATTGGACACACCCTCCGGATCTCGACCCCGACTTCAGCCCGGGAGGTTTCTGGTACTCCCACACTATCCCTGAAGCAGAACGAACAAGAGCGTTAGCAACGATTCAACAAGAAGCAGAGACAACAACATCGGCAGTAGCAACAACATCGACAGCAGAAACAACATCGGCAGCAGCAACAACATCAGCGGCAGCAGAAACAACGACACCAGTCACAGTCGACGAAGCACCACCAACACCCGCGCAACAGCTGAATCCGACTCAGCGTGAAGTCCACCGAAGCGCCAACCTCGTCGCCAGCTTTTACTCCAACTCCGACGCATATCAGCGTTCACCCGGACACCGCGCCTCTGAAGAGATCTGGCACGCACGCACAGGACATCCAAGCAACACGGTTTTGAATAACACGATAAGAGCAGGGGTCCTCGACAAAGACTCTCTACTTCTACCCGATGGCAGAGAACTCCAGAAGGCACGAGGGACTTGCCTTATAAGTCCCGAAGCTGACTTACCTCATCGACCGTTTACTTCACGTCACAACCCGAGCGCTCCAGCGTACGCACCACTCGAAAAAGTCTACAGCGACATCCTCTACAATCGCGAACCAGGACAAGTCAACTACAACTACACCATCACCTTCATCGACGCTGCCACTCGATACGTCTGCCATCGCAACCTACCCAGCCGCGACATGGCGCTCGCAGCATTCGCCGCCTGGCTACCGATAGCAGAAAGAGAGTCTGGAACACAACTGAAAAATTTCCAGTCAGACGGAGGTGGCGAGTACACCTCTCAGCGCTTCAAGCAGTTCTTGGCGGAAAGGGGGATCAAGCAACTCCTCTCCCTTCCCTACGCACATCAGCAGCAAGGTGTTGCAGAACGACTGAACAGGACCCTGCAGAACAGCATGCGCAAACTGTTACGTGGCATGCGGCTACCCAACCACCAGTGGCCAGCAGCAATGGACCACGCTGTCATGCTGCACAACTTGTTGTCGTCGTCGTCACTCCCGAACAACGCATCACCGCATCTGCTGTGGACAGGGAAGCAGGGCAGCACGAAAATGTTACGAGTTTTCGGGTGCATGGTACAGTACAGACCCCCAGAAGCACGAGCGGGAAGATTTTCGCAACGGGCACAGTGGGGACTACACCTCGGCATCGAGAAAAATTACAACGCATGGAAAATCTTCGACGTCCACACAAAGGAAACAGTAGCAGCACGTGATGTGATCTTCTACGAAAGACTCACCCTTCAGACGTACCTCGCCAACTTGCACGAGAATCGGGACCTCACCAGTGGCTTTCGTGGTGACCGAGCCTTCGCGTCAGCAGCGGACAAAGCAGACTGGGATGAACAGAACGTCGACAACGCCTCAGAAGAAGCCGGACCTCTCCCATACTGCTCTGTCGACGTACCCATGGATGAGGATAATCCTCGCGACAGTAACAACGCCGAAATCTTCTACCGCTTCGCCGACGATGGTTACGTAACACCTGTGACAGTCAACACCAACGAAGCAGAAAGGGTAGGGCCAAATTTCATGCCCGACCCAGAAACGGGAGAAGAAGCAGCTTATCCCGAGGATCCAGAACTCCCTCGATACTCACAGACTGGGCTGCAAATCCTTGGTCTCGTCACCGCAGTCCATGGCGCCGGCATTCCTGAGGAGCCTGCGACGGTTCAGCAGGCTCTGGGGGGGGAACACAGGGAGAAATGGCGTGAAGCTATGGACAAAGAGCTGAAGGCACTGGAGGAGCGCAACACCTGGAAAATTGTTCCCATCGGCGTAACTCAAAATAAAAACATTCTTACCGGAAAATGGGTCTTCCGTGTGAAGACGAAAGCTGATGGCACCATCGACAAATTCAAAGCCCGCTGGGTCGTACGTGGCTTCGACCAGGAGCACGGAAGAGATTACACCGAAACCTTCGCTCCGGTCAATCGCCACACCTCACTCCGAATCCTCATCGCCGTCGCCGCCATGAAGAAAAAGAAATTACGACAGATCGACGTTGCGAACGCATTTCTCTACGCACCTGTGGATGCAGAAATCTTCGTTGAACTCCCGCACGGCTCCCACGGCGAACCCAACCGAGTG